GCAACGGGAAAATCCCCAGTTAAAATTTACTAGAGTAAACAATTAAATTCCCAAAAGGGAAACAAAAAACCAGTAAATTACCTAAAATGGTACCATCATTCTAATTTTGAATAAAGTAAGAGGAGAAAGATAAGGGGGSACAGAGAACAATAAGTGCAAGCTGAGGATTTGAGTGAGGATGAAGCATTGAGTAAAGATGCTATAATACCATTTACAACCGCTAATTTTTCTGTCTGTTGCYTTTTTTAGCTCTAAAAATTTCATTAAGGAAAGAGTAAAGCAGAACCCTTGAATTTATTGTAACTTTACCGTACACTAAATAGAAGCTTTACGCATTCGGGTTTCGAGCATTCAAATTCTACCGAAAACAAGCTAAGAACGCGCGGAAAAGCGGAATTTGTGTGCAAGCAAAAAAGATAGCAGATACGAACCGGGCGTGAGGAATAATGCAACTCAAAATTTTAACTCTAAAATTAAAAAAACGACTGAAAAGAGTCGACAGGTAAGGAAAATTAAATTAACAGCGGCGGAGAATGGTTAAAAGATTGACTAACCTGGATCTCTGGGTTCGGTCGCCGGTTCTGAAACTGAACTTGCAGGTGAATACGGGTTGTCTGATGTTGCCTTGAATCTGAAACACCTGTGGACTACATTCGGGCTCGCCGTCGAACTGAAACACGAATCTCGGGTCAGGTTCTGCTTTCACATTCAAATGAAATTGCGCACACGAACCTTTGGACTCTTTCCCCACCGAAATCCACCCATTGTGGAACACCGTTGCCCTAGATTCAGTTCCCGCCAGATCCAAAGGCACGGACACTTTACCCAAGAGCCTCCCGGAGTCGACACCGCAGGTCGTGCCTCTCCGCCCGCTGTAGATGGAGATTTTGAGGCATGGTTTCGAAGCGAACAAAGACTTTCCAGCGAGCTTGTCGAGATCAGACTTACTGAGATGAAAAGTAGCAGCAGCCGTGGACTGAACCTGACCATCCGGAAACTGATTCTCCGGCTGAATAAATGGCACAACCGCCGTTTGCAACGGCAGTTTCCTGAACTTGATTTTACAGAAACAGGGAGACGAAGAAGGATGAACCAGGGAGCGAGCAGGCTTCGACGCCACCGGAACCTTAAGGGCGAGATTCCCAACGGTGAGACGCACAAAAGGGCAGGGATCCATGGACGCCCCTCGGTTCCAAAACTCAATATCACACAAGAGCGAGTCGGAACAAGAAGAACAACTCGCAGAGAAAGTTGAATCTGTCAGAACAAGCAGCCTTAATCATGGAAGCAAAACCTAGAAATGCATGCACAATGGCGCACACATACCCTCCGAAACCCCATTACCAACAGAACCTCGATTCATCAGCGATTCTTGCGCTCAGAGTTTCCCGCAGAAAGGGAAAAACAGTTGAATCAATGAGACTGAAAATGGAAGGCAATTACTGCTGCTGTGCGTAGGAGAAGAGAAGTACGAAAGTAGAGAGGGGAGAAGAGGAGTTTTAGAGAGGGCGAGTAGAGTAGAGAGAAGCATTAGTTGCGAACAGGCTGGGAATGGGGCTGCGTTTGGAGAAGGTTTCAGAATTTGGTTTCCAGCTGTGTACAGCCTGTCAATCTAATTCCAATCCAGTCCCTCTAATCTCCCTTTTTCTTTATTATTCAAACCCCGCCATCTATTTCTAATTTCTATTATATTATTAATTATTATTAAACTTATACTCAAGTCTTAACTAACCACGTCCCTCCCTCGGCTCCATCATAAAATTCTACCCCTATACTTGTGGGCTCCACCGTTCCCACGTTCGAAATTTTCCCTTCATTTCCAATTGTACCCTTTTCCCGGGGAAGCCACGTCACTGGCACGCCATCCTGGCCACCAATGCCGAATCCCCCCCCCCCCGGCTCTATGAAAATTGAAAATTACCAAGAAAATAAAAGTGATACTGTATAAAATCCTCAGCACCACACGTGTGGAGGTCACGTGGTCCCCTCGGCATTAAACATTCCGATGCGAATTCGGATGATTTGATGCTGGCCGTAGGATGTGCATACCGTTTTGGGTTTGGAGATTATTCTGTTATTTGCAAAAATATAAATAAATATATTCTTTCTATCCAATCACACCCTCCGACTCATGTGCTTTGACCACTAACACATCATTGTGACGTCACTTCTGCTTTTTTAACTCGACCCATTTGTCTAGTCTACCTCAAAACGTGGCACATTCCCAATTAATACAAATCCCTGAATTGGGTTAAATTAAACCGTACTTTTATTTTTTCCTTTTTATTATATTGCAATCTTTCGAATAACGTATTAATATGTCAAATCGAACCTAATTCGGATGGTTAAGGTATCTATCTCTGACCAAGAGGTCATAAGTTTCGAACTTCCATCCTCGTATGTTGTACAAGAGAAAATATATAAAATTATACTCTAAAAAAAATTAATATGAAATATTTGTAGGTGAATTCCACTATTTCGTAGCACGTTGGATTTTGCAGGATTTGATATAATTATCTGGTCATATCTTAATTTCTAATTAATAAATTTAGAATAAAAGTCTAAATCAATAAAATTTCTATTTTCTTTTCATTTTCGATTAAGATCCAAACAAAGAAATCTAATTTAATTCATTTCAAATCTTTCTTGTTCCAAACAACCTAAAGAATTTAAAATCATTTTTCGGATTTCAAAACTGGAGGCCAATGTTTAAAATTTAAATATTATGTATAAATAATATATAAGAAGGTAAAATTTTGTCACTTTCTATAAAAATATATAACTTCAATTTCGACGCTTTTGCAACAATGAATTTATTTTACGTCGCTTTTGCAGCCACAAATTTTTTTTCATCTCATCGGCAAAGATGAAAATTATTTTCTTCTCTAAATAATGTCGCTGTAGGCCTTCTTTTATTGTAGCGTGTGCATGGTAATAAATATAAGTAAAAAGTTGAAAGTTTGAGTTTTAAACTTTCAATGTAAATGGTACCACAAATAACTATGCAAATCAATATTTATGGATGTGCTAAATACAGCAGCACTATTAGTATATTTTTGTTAGTTCAACAACATGTGGGGCGTGAATCAAAATTTTGAACTTGTACTTTTTTTTAGTACAACAATGTTTGAGATGAGAATTTAAACTCGCTGAGAGCATATATTTCAACAAATAATTGAACTATGCTCAAGTTGACTTATTTGACATTTTTTAGTTGATGATATATATTTTAACCAATTAAGTGAGTTAATACTATTATTAGTAGTTGAGTTAATTGCAAGACTTTCATGATTTTGTAGGTATAAATGCAACAACTAATTTAATAATTTATATAATTTCAATGGTTTAGTTGTGATGACTTCTTTTATAATTCATATTTGGTTTGTATAATTTTTCAAAATGCAATAAATAAATATGTAAAGATAGCATTTAATTAAAACGACATAAATTCCAGGTATAGTTACTAAAATGATAAAATATAAAAAATATGAAATCAAAAGTTTGACGATGCAAGCACTTGTAACAACTCCATGGCTTGCGAAGGGGTTTGCACTCATTTGTAATTGATAAATTAAAACTGATATTATATTAATTATTAACATGGGAAAGAAATTAGCACGGTAAAACAAAAAAGAGTTTATACCCATTTTTGTCCATGTAGGACTCGTCCATGTCTCCATCCAAGAAGTTAAAAAAAAATTAAAGAAGGTTATTTACCTTTTGATTCTCAAGGATGAAGATTATTTTCCAAACTAATGGTGGAAACTACATTTGAAGATATAAATGCTAAAATATAACAAATCCTTATTAACCCTTGTTCATTGGTTTCTATGGGCAGCCGAGTTTTGGTAATTATTATGTGTTTGATTTCAAAATAAAGCACCCGTATTTAAGGAAAAGCATTGATTCGAAACGTGAAAATTGATACGGTAAAAAATGGACAAAATTTTGGAAACTTGTGCTGCGTTTGGTTTGAATTTGGTGGCGTTTGGAGCTAATGCGGATGGCAAAGGCAACCAAATGAAAAAGGCCATCCTAATTCCTAATTAACTACTAAACTAACAACTCCCATTATTTATTTAGCCTGTCGTTTCCCTTTTTTGTCCTCACTTTCGATTCAACACCTAACCTAATTCTCAATAATATTAATTATGCTATGTTTTTAAAATGCAGATCCTTCGGTTGTTTTGTTTGTTTTAAATTTCCACTTTAAAAAAAAAAACAGGCTCACGGGAATGAGCCTGGGATATATTAAAGAAAATTCAAACGCTCATACGTTTGGGTTTAGAATTATATTTTAGAAAATTCCAAAACTAACCTTTGAATTTAAATTTGTCAGATATTTTAACGATCTATTTGATAATATTTTAATTTCTTGTTTATTGTTTATATTTTTAAAAAAATATAACCACTTAATAACGGTTCTTTTGGTAGGTTTCTCATTTTAAATAAACGTTTTCAAAACGATGGAAATAACAAAATCAAGCATCTGGTTTCTATTTCCATTTTTTCTTAAAACGTAGATTATCATTGTTTTACTTATAAAATGTATAATAGATATAAAAAAATAAATATAACAATGTAAAACATTTTAAATATTTAATTTAAAAGTTTATTTTTCATATCAAACTTACTTTTAATTTAAAATTTTAGAAAATAAAAAATTTTATAAATTATTATCAAATATGTTTCCATTTATTGTTTCAAACACAAAGAAAGAAAGAAAAAAACAATTACCAGACACGTGGTTATATTTTTGTTAATTGGAAAAAAAATTGAAACAATAAACAATAGAACGGAAAACAACAAACAAATGATTAAAAAAAACCCTGATTATTATTTTGATAAATATAAGCGTAGTTTTACGTGGGGTTGAGTTTCTTTTTTGGGAAAAACAAAACAAAACAAATATAATTAGTAAAATACATCTTTAAAACACATTAATATTGTCAATATATATTTTTGAATGAGTACTGATCGCAATCAGATTAACATTAGCAATAGTTTTTAACTATTATAATTATATGTTTTTTTTACTATAGTATAAATAAATTAAGAACAACATAGTGATACAACGTTTTAAGTGAAATGAAAAGTAGAACCAGTAACATTTATGTTTAAAACTAGATAAAAATATATATAATTATAGACTTATGAAGAGATCTGTAAAATAGGATTATCAATTTAAGAAGATTAGATACATGAATTAGATAAATTAACTGAATGAGGACTTTACAACATGAGGAGATGTCTCACTATGCACGTAAAACTAGATGAAGTATTGTTGAGCCATCAATGAAATTAACTGATTAATATATATCATAAGGTCGCACAGTTTCCAAGCTTTTGACTACTCAGCTTATGGCTCTTTGTCTGCACCATCACATCCTTCTAATTAAAAATAATATATAGTTTATTTTTCCACAGATTCAGGAAAAGTAAAGAAAGCCAGTTACCACCCCAGTTACGTTGACCCAACATTGAGTTTAAAAAGATTATATTTCAATTTTCTACGTAGATTTAATGTGGAATATATAATGAGTATAGTATATAATACGCAATAATTAGAGTGGCCATTTTCCGACCCAAATATGCCAAAGTCAAGCGCTCTGCACTCTGCTCCTCCGACATTCTCACTTTTTTTATCTTTTAAAAAACTCAGTCTTGCTTCTATTCGGATGGAAAAAATAAATTTATTAGAAACAATGAAAGCTCCTCAATTTAATCCATGATTCATGCAGCATATTGCTATCCATTAGTTAAAAAATAAATTTAAAATATATTATCTTATTTATTTATTAATTTATAGCAGAAGGCCCATGGAGAAGCCCATGATCCAAACAATGGAACCGGCCCATGACCCAAATATTATTTTCCGTTTTAAAAGGGAAATCAGAAAAAACGAAGATAACGTATGTAATCCCATTTGACAGGTCTCCATTGCCCTCTCGCGTTCTCGCTCCGAAGCGAAGAAGGAACCAACCATGTCGATTTCCACTTTTTTCGGCTGCAGGATTTCGGTTCCGCCATTGCCGGATTTATCTGCAAGCAAGCTACCTCCGTGCCCCGGCGGCAATTTGGTGATTGAATGCTCGTCAAGGCCGACCAAGAAGGCGACTGCACATCACATGAAAACGAGGCCGCGGAAAACTCAGCCGTGGGACATCCGGCGCCAGCCAACTGTGTATCCTCCTCTGCCGCCTCTCCCTCCGGACTGGACCTTGGTTTCTTCAGTCTCCGGCGACGCCAATGTCGAGGCAGCCGCACAAGCACCGCCTACTAGCGAGTAACACCAGTAACTCTCTCTGTTCCTTTTCCTGTTTTATTTGTTTGTATCACCGACTCTTGAACTGGATTTTGGTTGAGGAATTGTGTGGCTCTTCAATCTCTATTAAGCCAATGCTGCTATCTGGAATTGTTTTTTTTTAATTGATGATATGCGACTCGATTAATTTATCGAGTCAAACCTATTCGATGGAAATGTTTGTTGCGAGGAGCGGATGCAGAACCCTAATCCTTTCTGTATAGAAAAATTGTTCTCGGCTTTGATTTTGGAGGCTCTGGAGAGCCAATTTAAGAGTACTCGGAGAAACGACCTAACGTTGGAGAATCTCCATAAGAACTCATGGAATAATTCGAAGAATTTTAATCAAATTACTTCAATTATTTTTTACATGTTGGTTAGGTTGATTATTGATGTACTGAATAAATTCGTTCTCATGTTTCGTTAAGAAAATTGTGAGTCTGGAATCTTTCATCATATCCAATTATGGATTGAAGTTTATTGCAGCTTCACTTGTATGCATTTAGTATTGTGTTGCGTGTTTGTTATGTCTCTTTATAAGGCTCCATCTGCTTAAAGAAAGTGAAAACAAACTGTGAAACATAAATAAAATTCTTTAAAAGTTTGTATTCACTACAACAAGTTTGGAAGTAAAATTGGAAAGAAAAGTAACTTTTACATTGTTCGATAACATCCACAATGAAAATCATATAAAAATTGATGCGAGATTAAGATAGAAAATAAAAAAAGACTTGCTAAATGGGAGAGTGAGAATCATATGATCATAAGAATAATATGGGAGTGTATAAGGGAAAATCATGTTATCTATCCTATGGAGAAACAATTGTGACCGACTATGGCATGTAGAAGGAAAAGACTTAATTGAAGGACTCCACAAAGCTTTATAAAAACTAGTAAGAAACATGGGATGCACATGAAACAATTTATAATCATGATTTATATATATTTTAAATTTATAATCAAATAATGAAAGGGTAGATTTAGCACATATGTTACAAATAAAGGGTAAATTTGAAACAAAAATTTTCTCCCTCTACTATGTCTTTTATATATGCTATAAATAAATCAAAATTTGTTTTTCTCTCAAAACCAAATACAAAAAATTGGATAGATATTATCCAAATAAGGATGATTATTTTGAGCAACATGAGCATAGGCAAGGTACCTTATTCATTTTCTTAAGTTCGGAGATTCGATCCCTATCCCCACATTTGTTGTACTGAAAAAAAGATGATTGATTTGAAAATTAATATTATATCTTTTACATGTACAAAATTATAATAAAATTATATATATATACACACACATTAGATGATTAGATGCTTTATCTACCAAGTTAAGTTCATATTATACTAAAAAAGAACGTAAAGTTCATATTAATGTAAATTAGTTTTAATTTTACCTACAAACAATAGTTCTCAATATATTGTTCTTACTTCTTTTAGAAATAAAAATAGATGAGCGTGGATTCAAACATACTATCTAAGAGATTCCTTGTGAAAATATATTCAACACCAACAACATTTTAACATGCTTTTTTGAGAAGAAACTGTCTAATTTAGCATGGTTAATATATATATATATATATATATATATATATATTATATTCTGATAAAAGCATGGTAATATTTAACTGTAAAAATTACAATGAGG